GTCTCTCTCTCTCGCTCACGGTCCCGGTCTCTCTCTCTCTCTCTCGGTCCCGGTCTCTCTCTCTCGCTCACGGTCCCGGTCTCTCTCGCTCGCTCATGGTGCCGTCTCTCTCTCTGCAGGGAGGACTGTGACAGCGCCCGCTTCCCCCGTCGCCTGCTCCAGGCCGTGTGCCTCTGCCCGCACTGCGTGTCGCTGGCCCCCCCGCACCTCCGGGACCGCCGGGGCAACTCGGTGCCGGTCAACACCACTACCACGGTCTATTACCGGCGCCCATGTCCCGGCCGGCCCGATACCTACTTCCTGGAGCCCCAGCTCTACCCCCTGGCCGTGGCCTGCATCTGTGTGGTGCCGCAGTCCTGAACCCAGCGGGACCCCATTGGGGCGCGGGGATGGGGAGACCCATGAGGCCGTAATGGGGTGGGGGGAACTGAGGCATGAGGGACCCAGGGGAAAACCCATTGGGAGAATCCTGGGGGGCTAGGGGGGACCCAGTGGACCCCACTGAGGTGGGGGGACCCCAGAGGGCCCGGGGGGCAGGTGGCAGAGAAAGCCCGAGGGGGCCAGTCGAGGAGGGGGCGACCCATGGGGAAGGGCATCCTTGGGGTGTGTTTTGGGGTCAGCCTCTCATTTGAGCGGACCCAGAAGAGGACTGTGTTTTGGGAGGAATTTAGATCTGATTTTGGAGGGGGCTGCTTGGGGGGGCAAATCTAACTCCCATTTTTGGTGTGTCTATGGGGTGACCCCAGAGCTCGGTTGGGGGGTGAACACCCCCATTTTAGAGGTGAACTTGGGGGGCCGTTTTGGGGTGAATGTGAGCTGAGGTGGGGGTGAACCTGGCTGTAGTTTAGGGTGTACCTCCGGCTGAACATTTTTGGGGAGGCATTTAGAATTCCTGCCAATCCCCCCTTCATTTTGGGGGTCCTCTCGGCCCCCCCAAAACTGCCGTTACATTGATCCCCGTTTAATCTCTTGATGGTGTTCAGAGGCTAAAGACCTTGGCTTTACGGGCAATAAAAGTTTTACAATGATCGTAATTGGTGCGACATTGGGTGTGTGTGTTATTATTATTGGGGTCCCCGAACACAGCCAGTGCCCCCCCTGCTTCCCACGGCGCCCCCCTCTGCCAAAGGCCGGGGCTGGAGAATGGACCCAATTCAGGGCCCCCAACAATCAGCCCCCTTGTTCCCCACGTACCAGCTGCTCCCAGCCCCACGGGACAAGCCGCCTTTGTCCAGTGCCAAAGGGCAGCTGGGCAGACCCGTCCCGCAGTTGGGGGGAGGATGGGGGGGGGGCTGGGGACATACGTTCTCCAGGGCTCAGACGTCACTTTCTGGGGCTTCTTCCTCCTTTTCAACCCTTCCACATTCTCCCTTTCATTCGCCTGGCCCGCGTTTCACTCCTCCCTTCCCTCGGCGCACCTGCCACGCTCCTGCTGCTTGCTTGCTTTCTTTCTTTCTTTCTTTCTTTCTTTCTTTCTTTCTTTCTTTCTTCTGTCCCTGATTTCTGCTCCCCCTCCAAAGTGGAGGCCGGGGGGGGGGCAGGCCAGGCTGGGAACACGCCCTGTCTTCATCCCGCCCCGTTCCCTCCTTCCCGGCGCGGGCTCCAGGATGGGGGAGCCGGGGGAGCCCGGGGGGCTGCGGGACCTGGCGCTGGACTGGCAGTTCCTGCGCTCCACCAAGGGGGCGCTGCTGGGCACAGAGCTGGTAAATGGACCCCCGGGGCAAAACCTCCCAACCCCCAGACGCTGCCACCCCCCAGCCCTGAGACCCCGCACCCCCAGTCACCCCAGACCCTGCCACCCCCACCTCTGAGACCCTCCACACCCTCAATACCTCAAGGCCCTGCCCCCCACTCACCAGCCCTGAGACCCCTTGGCTCTGAGACCCCTAGACCCCGCTACCCCCCCTCTGAGACCTCTTGCCACTGAGACCCCCAATCCCGGGTCCCCCCGACCCTGCCACCCCCCAGCCCTGAGACCCCCAACCCCCAGCCCCCCAACTTCCATACCCCCACCTCCCAGCTCTGAGAACTCCCCCACCTTTCAGCCCCCCCAAACCTGCCAAAACCCCTCACCCCAACCCCTCGATCCCCTGAATTTAGTGGGAGGCGGGGGGACACTGGGGAGGGAGGTTCAGCTGGAACCAGACTCGGGGGGGCTGGGGGGAATGCTGAGGTTGGGAACGGGGGGGCAGTGGATGTGGTGTGGGACAGGAGAGGGGGTGCCAGTGGGGGGTGGGGCTGGAAGTTCCCGGGAGAGTGTGGGGGCAGGGGGCGACATCTGGGGTGGGAATCCTGGAGAGGCAAGCGGTGCTGAGGGATGGTGGGGGTCGGGCTGGGGGGACGCATGGCCCCAGCCCCCCCCTTCACCCTCTATCCTCCCCCCACCAGGCCCTGTGTTTTCTGATCTTCCTGCTGCTGACGGTCTCGGCCTCGGCCTACATGGCGCCCGCTCTGCTGGAGGCGCTGCTGACGGCCGGCGCGCTGGGCCTGCGTCTCACCCGCTGCCCGGAGAGGGCGCCCCGGATCCACTGGCCCTGCCTGGTGCGTGGGAC